GTCTAGTAATGATAGTATACTTTACTAAACTTTGGTTTCCAGTGACAAACGTACAGTAGCTCACATTATGTTTACATCTATCTACACTCAGAGATGATCTATGGACGTAAACTGAAATTAATTGACTGCTTAAAGGGTTAATGCTCTAATTCATCTCTATTGTACAGTTATTTTTAATTTTTGGGAAACGATAGTTGTGTCTTAATTTATGCTTCAAATGGCAGTGTCATTGATTTTTATTTTAGTTGTCATTGTAACAGAATGGTGATCAGTGAACAGCTATCTACACAACTTTTGAATATAACAGGACACAATTCTATGGATTTAAATAAGCTCATACAGCCTCCACCAATACTGTCTACTCTCACCAAAGACCAAACATTTGTCATATAAAAATGTGATCTGATAGGAAGTTAATTGTTGTCCCACAATAATATGCTGTCTTCTAGTTTGGTTGTTGTTGTTGTTTATTTAACGTCTAGTTTGGTTATTATGCTTTTCCTCCATATAGAGATTTACATGTATTATTTCCTACAATATGGCCGATTAACAAACCAAATATAGTCCTGAATATTGCTAATTGTGGTGTTGTTATAACAATTAAGTGTTGATTAGATTGATGTTTACATAATACTGTTGATTGATTAGCCAAAACCTTTTTAATGGTCATCTGTCTCTCACCTGCTAATTAACTGATTCTATTTAGGTTAATCCTAATCTTAATGCGATTAATTTGTTTAGCTGAATGTTTACCAATCCCAGATAGCACTAGTGTCAGATTTATAATATATTTATTTACCTGTTCTATGATCAATTGGTGAACCAGGTAGATAATTTATCTATATAATACCTTATATTTTGAGGGTTTTTTTTGCTTTTTATCTGGTTTTTGGCAGTCATAGCTTAATATTTTTTGGATAGATGTTAGTCAAAAGAACTTACTGTAATTTAAAGCTTTCTGCTGATCCTTGCAATGATAGGACATTCTTAATTCCGTCCAAATTTCCAGCTGTGATTAAATCCTATCCGAGGCTGAGAAATTGAGCTAAACGACCAAGATCACGAAACTGCAATAAAAACTGATCTGTACAAAAAAAAAAAAAATACTTAAGCAAGAGTAAATAAATAATGTTGCAATCATTTGGATTTTTTTATGTTTTTCAGATTATTGAAATGGTAGAACAGTAGCTTTAACTGGAATTAAGATGGCTTACATGTCCGTCAGCTCCGATTTTGATCTAGATGATGATGGCATTCTTAGAGACTCGACAAGTAAGTACATGACATGTATGGAAGACCAAATGGGTCTAGGTTTTGCTCCCGGCGTGGGTTTCCCCTTGTCAGTAGTGCAGGACAGTGTAACAGTAACATTGTCTAGTCATTCGGATCAGACAAAAGCTGAGGCCCTATGTACACATTGGCACAGACATAAAAGAACCAGAGACAGTAAGAATTCAAAATAAGAGTAGGCGGTAGGGGTAGACATCCGGGCAAAATTTCTCACTTAGCATACTGCATGGTCTATGCACATCTTCATATTAACCCAGTTGGTGTAGAAATGAAGAACATTAAAAATCATTATATTTCAATCTTAATTCAAATTGTGTATGGACTGAGAGTCTATATTTGTCTCTGTGTCTGACCATCAACATTATACCCTGATAATGTGTACCAAATCAGGTTTAGATCTGGCACCAATAAAATTTGCATCTGAAAAGTGATACTTGGTTTCCATTTAAACTACATGTACTAGAATTTAAGGGTTGCCTCAACTCACACACACACTGTAATTTTATCATAAACATTGTGTTTGGGTAATGATTTTTAAGATATTGAATTTTAATGATTTTAACATGAATTTTTATCATACCACTAAGTAAAGTTGATAAATTAATGAATTGTTCATTATTCACATATTGATTGGCTATTTGTCAAGAATGTAGATCAGATCACTTAGAGTTGTTTTATTGATAAAACAGTTTAGTTTAATAAAGTATCTAGTTACATAGCATTTTTTTTATAAAATCATATATATCAGTTTTCATAAAAGATTATATTTGGATCAAAAATAGTTAGTTTAAAACAAGATTTTGAATGTGATTGGAGAGGGACAGAGAGAGAAATGTTTTTTTGTTTTTTTTTAAAAAAAGCAAATAGAATACTGGCCCCTGATCATTGAGAAACTAGGAGACAATAAAATTTTGCCTCTAATTTTGTATATTACAAAGCATGATTTATTTTATATTCATAGATGTAGCTATATCACTGTGAGTGATTGGGGAATACACAGAGTACAATACACAGAGTACACTATGTAATTAACACTTTAAAACTTTGTGTATTATAAATGTGTGTATTCACTGTGAGTTACTTGCATTGGAGAATACCTAGTATGCATGTACATGTAAATTGGTCTAAATTGGTGATATAATAGGATAAGATCTCTTTGATATGGTTAAAAAAGGAAATTTGTTGATTTCTCAAAGATACATCCCAAACTTTCTACTGTTTATTTTTTGATATCATGGTATTGTTTTGGATGTAACTTTTAGCATGTAAGTGGTAGAAAGGTCCAAGATATATCTTTCAAAATTAAAAAAAACCCAATTTGTCAATCAAAAACTTCTGAACTGTTGAAGGTTTGAAAAAATGAGAAAACCCCCCAGGGATTTAACATTCTGAATCTCTCCTGCCTGTCAACTATGAATATGGCCATCAAATAGCTTGGAAAGAGAGTAGTAATCTTTTACAGGCATTTAGTAACTGGATAGAGTAATGAACTATATAACATATACTTATGGAAGAACAATTGCTGATTTATTTGAAAAAGTGATGTATCAATATATTCTCTCAATGTTTTCAAGCCTACTGACATTTTGATCTGTTTGAAACAATGTGGATGAAGTGGTGTAGTATACTGTGCTTCATCACATTCAAGTAAGAAATTTATATTCCAAGAAATTCTGATTAAGCCGTAATGCACTTAACAGACTTTTTTTGGTGATTTCAGTTATTCCAGGAATGGTGCTACCTTGAAAAATAATTTCCCCGGTACCTGTATGCTAGAGTAGATATTGTGTCGTAATTGAAAAACATAACATATAAAACACATACTTTCCTGCTATCGAAAATTAAAATCAGGTGTTTTGTGGTACACAAGAAAAATCAAAGTTTAGTTAGTTATTTTTTCTTTCTAATCATATTGAGGACAAAAGTCACATTGAAAGAAAGTCAGGTATTTGTATATTGTGTGACTGGACAATAGTGTGTAATTATACTTATATATAAGTAATAGTACTTATATTGTATTCAATACATAAAATGTCACATAGAGATACAACATAAAACTGGTAAGAGTATAGTTTGAATATTGTGTTAACGCACGCTAACATGGTGACCTATAGGAAATTGATGTAATTAATTTACTCAGTGTTGTAACAGTGCTGGTGAGGTTTATCCTGTTTGCAACAGTTTATCCTGTTACGTCTGGTTTTGGAATTTTGAATAATTTTGGTTTGTGATGTCTTTTATGAAAACTTGAATAAGTTGTTACAAATAAACAAGACTTTACTTTTAAGCAGTGGAAGATTGTAAATGGATTATGAACCAGATTTATTTAAATATGGTTGGTACACATGGATGATTTATTGTGTGGCTTGAATACGCGGTACAGTATATTGAGTATGATAATGGGATAACAATTCATATTTTAATTAGTGTATAAAAAGAAAGGCAACTGTTAATTTATTCTGTAATTTACTCTCCTTATTGATAATGACTAATTGAAGTCATGTTTTCTTATAAATGATTTTGCCAAATTTGTCAACATGACTTGTATTTTGATCACTGGTTTAGAATCTGATTTTGCTTTTAAATTATAGAGAGAGAGTGAGAGAGAGAGGGTTTAACGTCCACTCGACACAAAACTAGGTCATTTCGGGACTTAACATATGGTTCAATTTTATTTCAATAATTTGCTTGCGCGTAGGGGTCTTTAGCAGTGGGAGGAAACCGGAGGACCCAGAGAAAACCCATGAGGTTGGACAGGCGACCCTACTCCTTGTCATGTACAACCAGGGAATCGAAACCACACCAGTTTAGTATCCAAAGAGAGACAAATATTTAAGATGTTAACAAAAATTTATTGGTAACTAATAATATACAGTATGTAGTTTCTATTTTATCTTGTATTTGATCATGGAAACCCTGAACAAGTATATCTTAGTATCAGCAATATAATTTTGTTATATTTTTGTATCATGTGATTCTTTTAGATTATTTGTTGAGCAATATTGTTAAGCACTTTGGTTCTTGTATTAAAACAATACGGCATGTTTACACTTTCTACAATATCTGACACTATTTCTCATTTGAGGGTTTCAGTCAGAATAAATAAAATGGTTCATGGAACTAGTGATTTCACTGGATATTTTGGTACAGGTTGATTACTCTTGAATTCTAATGAAGTTAAAAATCTATTTGACTTGAGTAGTTTGTCTCTCTTTTTTGTTATAGTTGTTTTTGATCTAAAAGTGAAATAGTCTTTAAAATATGTACCAGTAATGTCCACAGTCTATATGATTTCATTAGTTTATGACTATTGGTAAAGCTTGTTAAGTTATAAGACTTTGTGTTATAAGAGAGTTTGATTAAGGACAACACTTGAAAATTGACCTTGTTGACATTCTATATAATATTATCATGATCGTACCCTAATTACATGTATATATACACAGATCAGTATTTTAGTCATTGGTTAGCTCAATATATTGAGTGAAGCAGACGTCCAATTGTTTAGTTAACAACTTATTCTTAGTTATTTTTTTTATCGAAAGTTTATATAAAAGGATAAAGAATATTATTTAACCTGGATTGTCTTTTCATTGGTATTAAGAGATAAAGTCATTACTAGAATGTTAATTTTTAGCAAATGACAGGGTGGCATCATTGAGATATCTTTGTTTATATTTTTGGAAAAATAGATCATAGTATATAATATGTGCCTGGTGCATAAATACATTATACTCTTTCATTCAAACTATGAACATTTATCGTAACCTTTACATCATTCATGAAGTATTCAAAGAATTCTCAGATTCTGTTTTTTTTTATTCTATTGCAGATGCTGGTTTCCACTTAGATGATAATGGTATCTTGAGAGATGAATTTGATCCCTATAATAAAATTGGAGGTCATTGGACAGATTCTGGATTTGGAGGAGATCGACAGTCGAGTCAGTCAACGTTATTACAAACAAACAATAGCTTTAACGAGTCATTTCATGATGATGATGATCGTAGTATAAATATAAGTGAGTTAGAGGCTTCAAAAGATGACATAGACATTGACAGAGGATCATTTTCTGGTAGTTTGGACAGGGAATGGAACTTGGGGGTTAGACATAGTTTTGAAAGTCCGCGAAGATTAAAAGCTGAATATTCGAAGGAGAATAGAAACCCTACAAAATCGAATTCAAATAAAAGTGATATTTTTACCGAAGAATATTATCAAGGGCTTCGGGATTTGGGTGTTTTAGTAGACAGTGCTGATTTTGATGACAATCAAAATAATTCTTTATTAAACTCCAGAGAATTTGATCAACACTACTTTCAAGAAAATCTATATGATAGCGAAAGAGACATTAAGACAACTCCAAGTATCTCTCATGAAGAACATGTTGCTAGAAATATAGGGCAGAATGCTAGATGTCAGCCAGAAACAAGATCAAGTTCAACAATTAGCAGTCAATCATTTCCTGAAATCACACCAGAAGAAGCAGAAGAGTTGTACGAAAACAAAACTTACAAATATGTGGACAAAAAATCAGCATTTGACTTTTTCCCAACCAACTCCAAAGATGACGATGATGAAATATTCTTCATTACGAGTCGAATACCATCATCTAAAATAAACAACCGAACATCACATTCCATATCTCCTAATCAGTCTACCACAAGTACTCGGCCAGCTAGTTCAACTAGTCATAGAAGCAGTCGACCACAAACGCCTTACAGTAGAGAGGTGTGGCAACACGATAACAGTGCATACAACGACGAAGGAGATACCAGCTTAAACAGAGAGGATTTACAAATTGAAATACCCACAAGACCAGAAACAGCTTCCCCTCCAGAATCACATAGATCTCTGTCCTCAGAATCTGGAAACCATACTTCACGATCTGGTACTGGTAAAAAATTACCCAAAGCTGTATCGCAAGAAAGTTTCTTCGAAAAACCGAAGTCTGACAAAATGCCAAAGCGAATGTTACCAAAACCAAACACCAGTGAAGATGGTGAATATAAAATCAAGAGTAAGAGTAAAAGCACAACAAATATTTATGGGCGATCCGGTCCTGTGAAACCCACTCACATGACCATCTCTGAAATCACCCGTATCACTATGGATGATACTGAAGATGACAACAAAGATGGTAGCAAACCTAAGGGTGAACATGTAGAACTCTCAACTAAATTAAAACAAGAATTTGTAAAACGAAAACAAGCAACCGTTTTGGTTCAACAGCTTCAAAAAGATTATGATAGTCTTCTGTCCAAATATGCTCTAGCAGAACTGACAATTGATCAGATGAGACTTGGTGCTAAGATTAACCTCCATACAGACTCTCCGATACCTAATCAAATTCCGATGGGGTCACTGGCTGTACCTCAATCTATCCAGTCCATTAATCTTGGTGGTGTATCTGGACGAGCAGTTTTATCTTCTTCACCAGCTATAAACAACAGATACCTCAGTCCAAGTTTAGGTATGTTTATAATTTTATTTTAATCTATTTCATACATTATCAAGAAAGCTTTGAAATTTTGATACATGTATTAATTTCATAGTATTGTATCCAGTTATAAGAAATGATCTGATATGGATATTCAACTTATTACTCAGTTTTGCCAAAGTTATCTCTTGGATTCTTCTTTGTCTCCTGAATACATGTAGGATGTAGGATCTAGTGTGAAAAATATCTACTGGGATTTAATATTGGATCAGTTCATGTAATCTAATTCAAATACTGTAGACTTCGCATATAATGGACACATCGGGACCGGAAGAAATCGTCTGTTATAAACGGTGTCCATTATGCAAAAAATCTGCTATCGACCCTGAATTAGCGACCAGAAGGTAACACCATCCATGAAATAACAACATTTATCATATGCAGAATCTACAGAACATACAGGTATTTACATAAAAGTCGTGTATGTATTCACATATTATGGATGTTCAAAATAAACAGGCTTATTTGAAAAAGTCTGTAATGCAGGTCTGCTTGAATCTGCCAGAAACACGAAGAAAATCAGTAATATCATCATTTTGTTCTGCTTATTCGAGAGTCCGTTATAAAAATGGACTTTTACATTGATTTGTCGATTAGGTACGGATGAAAATTGCCCGTTATAAACGATTGTCCGTTATACAGTGTCCGCTATAAAAGACTTTGAAAATAAGAAATTTCTATTATAAAAATCGGGACCAAACTGTTGTGTCCGTTATAAGCGATTGTCCGTTGTATGCACGTCTGTTATATGCAGGGTCTACTGTAGTTGACCTTCTTTGCTGCAATGAATTCTGATGGAATTCGGTATGATGATTAACTTTTGAAGTGTCCTTTCGGATATGACATTTTAATGAAAAAAAATATCCATGTCAGTAGCGAAATATCACAATGAAGTAAATGTTTACTAATAACAAGATAGAGTATATAGGCCTACCATAAAAGCTTTATTTTCTTGTACCTGTCTCAACCTAGTTATTTCTGCTTGACAAATTACTTTTCAGTATAGGCATTGACATTTATAGCTAGAGCAAAAGATATGTATTAAGGTTCTATAGCCACAGAGATTAGATAGGATTAAACATTAAAGCTGTATTGTCATTTAACAGATGATTTAATCCTTACAGACAGATTATTGGTATTTATAGGACATGAAATATATTTGTGCTCGCAAATTTGTTCGATTCTAGTTATTTATAGGGAGCGTTTGGTATAGTTAGGCCTATACATAGTATATAGATATGGCATACCACGTTTCTTGTAACACAAGGGGGGGTGTGGAGAGGCAGAGATGGATCTTTAGAAGTTAAATTGAAATTATTATATAGGTTAGAGGAGGGTATAAACTTCAAGAATTAATTAAATATGAAGATTGCAAGTTCTGACAATGTAATATTGACCACTATATCTATACAATAATGACGTTTCATAGTTCCAATACTGTACAAGTTGGGATTGACCCTTATTTCATAGGTCACATGCTTTATAGGTTTTCCCCTTAAAGTTTGTTTTAATTTCATTTAAATTGATAAAACAATAATATTTCTACCTAATTGAATTGGCACATATGTCATGTAGCATAGGCCAGTAATTGTTATTTATGAACGATTGAAATTCAAGAAAGGAGACATTTTGCATGAGATTATAGGACATCCATTTATATAATGACCATAATGAACTGACCATAATGAACAAAGGACATAAATCATTTAATGAGTCTGATATGGACATGAATGAACACATTTCATCTTTTTGGTATAAAAATATCATTGCCTCCGGATTAACATGTGTTTCCTTCTTTCTTGAAAACAGAAGTGCTTATAATTTGTAAGTACTTTTAAGGATATATATTTGTTTCACCCATTTATGCACTGGCCATTTGGTACTAAAGAATATCTATGGAGATATTGCTTTAATTCATTTTTGATTGGTAACTCTGATTTCAGGTCTTTGCTTATCAATTTAAAAATAATATTGGAGTAGATAAAAATGGTCAATTTGACCAGTTATCCCTAATTAGCAGTTACTAGTTTCGTTCATAGTGAACTCTTCAGACAGATTAATCTCACTTTGTGAGTTTCTTACATACTGTGTTGGGACCCCAGTAGAATTTCACCGGGGTTTCAGTTTGGTCACGGTTATTGGGCTTGCTATTACCGGGGTTTGGTATTTTACCGGGGTTCACAAGTTTGCCTGGTACTGGGGTTCGGAATCTGGCAGGGTTTATGTGTAGCCTAAGAAATCGGGGTGGGGATCAAAGCAAAGTATCCCTGTGTGCCAAAACGAGATAAAAGGGACATATTTCCAGAGTGAAGAAAATAATAGTGAAGGTCCCAGTAAGAGGAATGTCGAACTGGTGAGGGAGAAAGCGCAGGAATAGAAGAAAACATAGGAAGATAGATGATTAAATAGTTGTATTATCCAGAAAAAAAGCCAGAAATAAATGAGGGATGATAAAAATCTGTATTCGAAAGCTGGGATTCTAGTGAGAGGTCCTCCTGGATCGCATCTAATAGTTTAGTTTGGATAGGGAACCTGAAGAGAAAGTCTACTTCTGGGTCTCTATCCTTCCAGATATCGCTTCTACTGGAGCAATGGTGTTCCATGTTTCCGCACCGATTAGGCTCGGGGAGGTATAATGGTCCCAGTCGCAGAAAGCTGGGATGGGGTGTCCATAATGGTGTTGTGGCTCTGGCTCGTGCTGGGTGAGGCTTCATCAGGTGTGCTGTGGTGAAAAGGTGAAGCCTCAGTGGCTGTGATGGTGATAGCTGAGCAGTGGTAGTTGGGTGGAGTTTTCTAAATCTTCTATGGTGTTATCTGTTAAGATTTGTCTGTTACCATAGGCAATTTTGTTCACTTCCTCAGCGGGTTGGGTTCCTTTGCAGTGTTTTTTTTTTAAGGTATTCTTTTCTGAGCAACTGTTTTCCACATTCCCCACACTCGAGAAAGGTGTCTTTCTCTGATGTGTCGAAGTAGGTGGCAGTGGTGGCACTATCAAATAATTAAACAATTGGGTATGAATCCTGACCTCCCCAAATCTACTATAAATAGACGTACCATAGAACTTCAGTGGATCATTAGATTGAAAACCTTTGAACCATATGGTATTAATGACAAAATCTTGGGTAATAAAGAAAATGGTGATACATATATTTTTTTGTATATCAAATACCTATACGACAACATATGTTGATAAAGTAAGGAATTGCATGAAAACTACTTATGTCAGTTTTGTCGGTCATCCTTCTGGCCATCTGTGTAATGTAAAAAAATAATAGTTATATATATTTGATAGATCAGAATGAGTCTCCTTTTGCATATCAATATCTACCAGAAATTATTGTCATAGTATAAGATTGTAGGATGGTATAAAATGTTAAATATTTGGCTTCTACCCAACTAAATCAAAAAGGAATTATAGAAACTGAACTAAGAGTTAAAAGAATGTTCATGTTCTTTTATTATGTGATTATGACTCGATCTATTTTATAGGTATATTAATTGAATGATCAAACGTTGGCTTCTTTCATTTCTTTATGACAAAAATGTAAAACTATGTATCTGGTACTATATACCTCTAATTCAGGAAATCCTGTGTGTAAAATGACCTAATTTTAGTTCAGTATAATTATTTGAAGTTTTATTCATTCTCAGACTGTGTGTTCTAATGCACGCGCTGTAGATCAGAGGCTAGTTGTAAGTCATTTATTTAATCACAGCTAGGGTCCAACACCTAACCAATTTTTTGGTTCTGAATAGTCTAGTTATCTCCAACCTACCAAGATTCTGAAGCTCTAGAAGGCATTGAAATATAAAAATATATCAGAGATAACCTTGTTGGTGATGAGTAAACCTCTCTCAGCTTTGCCAATAAATGTCAATTTTACAATCTTTAACATAAATCCATTTCCAAACTGTTACGTGTTATGTATTCATGTGTATGCTGTAAGAATGTTTTGGTTGAAGGATTTCTGATTATATGATTTATTTGACCATAAAACCTTTATTAAATTGAATCATATCTCTATCAACTTAAATGCATATAAAAGTATAATATAGCCAACATATTTTTGTTGTGTGTATTTCATATTGCATACGTGATAAAATATTTTACAATTGATATCCTTCAAGATAGTTACCTTTGTTTACATAACTGTTGACATGTTTCCTGATAGACGAAGATAAATTTAAGGATAGGTTGATCCTTGGACAGTTTATATAGTTATGACAGTGCATCCAATGGAAAAATCTTCAGGTATTCCTATGAATTGATGTTTTCATAACCAATATAATGAACTCATCTGTGTTAGGGTTAAAGTCATCTGTTTTGATGTGTAATGTATTTAGTTGATTAAGATTTACAGATAAATGTACAGCACGATGTTATGCACTCAATAGGTGGACGATTGCTAAGGATATCCTTTTTTAATTATTATCCATAAAAACTGATAATGGTACGTGTAGATGAAACCGGCCTAATTCAAGATTGGAAAAGAACTATGTAGACAAAAGCAAACATGCATGTTGCAGTAATTTGATTTTGCCCTTAGTGCCATTCCTTTCACTCGCGATTCGACTGAAAGAATGTGGATATACTGTAGAGAAGTAATGATAACAATTTTTGGAATATCAGGGCTTTTATAAAAAATTTAAATGTTTTCAGATGTCAGTGATGCCTTCAACAGTTCTTCCTTAGCTAGTGAGAACAACAAATTAGCTTCTACAGCTGACAAGCTCTTAGGAAGGGACTCAGATGATAGAATGCTAAAAACACCATCTGGTGCTGACCAAGTTAAAGCAAGTCTTTTAGTACAGACAAAACTCTTAGATCAACGGGTAAGTAATTGACTATACTGTAATTAAAATCATTTATTTAGAATTTTGATTTAAAAGAACTACCCGTTAAGTCTCCATGTTTTTTGTTTTTTCGATTAGTGATGGTGTAAACTCTATTCTATACGATCCATTTTTTGTCATTTGGTTTAATGTTTGGCTTACTATGTTGACAGTTGAACACAAAATTGTATATATGTATCTGATCACTAGCAGTATCTGTGGAGGTAATATTGTGAAAGACAGACATAGTAGTTGGAATTCGATATGAGAGTAGATTGTAGCACCACTGTCCAGGCACAATTTCCCCCATAACACACTGTATGGGGTATGCCTGTCTTCATTAGCCCAGTCGGAGCAGAACAGTAGGACGTTAAACCCCATTTCATTTCATTTTGTTGATGAGATGTGCTTCCTAAATCCAAGACCTGTCTATTAGTACATAGTTAATAAAGGTGTTGTGCAGGAGACAGGTTATGCTGGAAAACATAATACCAGCCCTTATTTATATCAATAGTTCACATAGCTAACAGTTTCTGTTGTGCTTTTGTGTAGAACAAAAACAATGTATTGAGTAAAGAAAATATTTTCTTGTTGACCTGAAAATTACAATTATCTTAATTGAAAAATTGGTACAGAAAATAGCTTTAGAATCCAATATTGTTTTGTAAATGTATGGTACATATTTATCTTTAGGGTTAGGTCACTGTTAAACAATAGATATTATCTAGGATCAAATCAATAATATATATACATATGTTTGTATTGTTCCTTACATATAGAATGTCATTGTCTAAAATTGAAAATATTTACCCTCTATAGTAAACGAGTTGTTGAATATAATATAAGGATTGGTATCAAATGTCAAGTATTGGTATATGAATTAATAAGGGGGACATGACTTCACCTTGGTTAATGCCTAGTGTATATTTTGATATCAGTAAGTAATTTAGTACATGTAGATTAAATGGTAAGTAAGTAGTAACATGCTGTAACTTGTCTATTGTCTGGATCGTATAAGTATAAAGATATATAGACAACCTATGTTATAGTTTTATAATACATAAAGGATTATGTACTGTTTCTATAATAGAAGAATTCGCTTACTACTATAATTAAAGCTAGCCTACAAATTAGAAAACTATTTAGCAAAGCATTCTAAAATAAAACATTTATTTGTACCCTAAGCAACTAAAGTCACACTTCAAGATATGCTACTTTTGAAAACGTGTAGAAACTATTCTTTCAATAACTTCCCTGTCAGATGTAACATTTGAAGGTTTTTTGTTTCTCAAGTAGCTTGGTCTTTTCCATTTAGTTTTGTATTTAAAGATACATTATGGGTAATTAGATAAAGAGCTGGCAGTTCTCACTATAATTGTTAAAAACGAGAAAATGTAAAAGGAATTTGCTGAAAATTTCAGTCAAATGGATCCACTCTGAATCAGGATTTTAGCGATTGAATTTTGGCCTAACCTCGATCATCATTACTAAAGTCGGTACGATAAAAAACATAGTCTCAATTATCCATTTCATGATTAAATTATGAATGGAAGTTGGAAGTCGAACAGCAGATCGGAACCTAATCCAATAAACATTGCAGGCTAGCGATGACATCGAGAGTTGATTATGATCTGGATAAGTTAATTAATGTCTAATTAATAATTTAGATAACATTTCAGGCCTAAAGAAAGACCTGCAATAGGCAGATTTAGCTCTTGCATAAGGTATGAATAATATTCTGGTGAAATGCTGAGCTGGATTGAATTTGATGCACAATTTAGCAGAAAACATGTTTCTAATATAGTAACTTTAATCTGATAACTTGTGCATGTCTAACTCTTCGAGATGGAAAGTGATTGATGTACTGTATCACCAAATTCATTTCCTGTTATATAGACATTCGTTTGCTGCTAATTTACATAACCCCACCTTGATGAATATATTATACCCTGTCAATATTTCAGATTCAATCTTTTGAAAATCTGGTAGAAAACAAACAATTGTCCTTAGAAGATAAAGAACAAGTATTTGATAAAATACGAACAGATCACGAGAAATTACGGAGACAGTACTTACAATCAAAGGAGGACTATAACGTGATGCGTAGATCGGGAGCAACCACGGCAACAGAAGCTAATTTTGATGATGATAAAGAATTGGAAGGAGAACTATTCAAGCTTGGAATGAAATTTGATGTAATGCATGAACAGATTGATTCTCATTTACAAGAAGGTAAAGAACAACGCCAACCATTTCAGTCACAACGATTGGCTGATGAAATTGATGGAGAGGATGGTAACCATAGTGATGCATCTGAAACGGCTCATGCTGTTGACCAATTAAAAAAGCAGATTCGTGATCCAAATGCTGGCAATGACATGATCCATCCAAAATTAGAGCCTGAGTTTGAAGGGAAACTTAGAAGGTTGCATGATGAATATAATGCTTTGATGGACAGATACAGACGATTAAAACAAATGGCCAAGACACCTAATCGTGATAAAGAAATCGATAACCTTGTTAGAGTAAGAAGAGTTATTTTACTATAGTTGACGTTTTTATACATCTTGGGCTTCCCCACAGATCAATACATTGCCCTTGTTAAAGATGAAGTTGTAATGTTTGTAATGACCAAACTCAATATTTGATTGGTATATAAGTCCATAAGTTCAGAGTTTCTAATCAAAATATTGACATGGTGTTTAGTCTCCATATTCTAGTAATACAACTGTAATAGCTTGTCAAACATAATGAAAGCTAAGATGAGACATAATATAGATATTATTTTTGATCTTTTTTATCACTGATAGCTGTTCTTATACAAACTTCATTTCATATTTTACCAAAGCTTTTTAGTTTAGTCAGTGTGAGGATTTAGAATTTATGCTGTTTATATGAATGCTGTCTACAAGCTGGTTCATTATTGCCTATGGCAAAATCTTGCTGAGAAAATATTTGCTATTCCTATATTTGTATTGCTAATAACCTGTATATAGCTTGATTTAAAAGACCTAGAAAGCAGTGAGCTCATAAATTATGATAAATAGCAAGCTCTATGTAACTTTATATATTTTTGTATTTGTTCAGAAATTAAAGGTAATCTGCGATGAAGCACCACAGATATTTCATTTACCACCAGAACTAGAAGAAAGGTGAGCTAACCTAACAATACAAATAATTTTAAATGTATGTTCTATCTCTGTCACTTTGCTCGGACGATTTAGCTGCTGTGATCGTATGTTTTGTTGCCTGGCAACCTATCTTTGAAATAAAATGCAGGAATCCCCAAAATCAGGAAACCAATGTAGAAAAGACCAAGTTGCCAAGCTAATGAGGAGAACAAAGTCATAAAATCACATGTTGAGGCTGATAGTTAAATACTTTTCATTAGGAAGCAAAATTGTTTTTAGACATGCAATACAGTGCAGTGGTGTAAAACGTTCTCGGTGCATGGCAAAGATAATCCTAGAAGTATAAATAAAATATTTTATTGATCAGATGTTAAAAACTTATAACTTGTTTCCTTTCATTTTGTCTACTTAAAATCTTTCTTCTTTAAAAGAATGGAACGATTAAATAAAAAAGACCAAGAAGCCAAAAATCGAGTTAAATCCCAAAATACAGTAGCAGAACTTGTCAATGGACAGGTAGGAAACATTCAATAATTTAATTTTGATTTTTTGGAGTGACATCTCATATTATTATTGTGAAAGACTTATTTATGATTATCAGATTGTCACCCGGGATGAAAATATATGATACAAAGGCAAAGTTTCTAGTTCACTCCCAGTCAAAAGTAAAAACTAAAGATATCCGTATAAAAACCCTTGCCATCTCTTATCCAGTTTTTCAGTGTAGAAAAACATACAGAACTGCTGAGGCTGATCTAAGGAATACCTGTATGAGGGGATGATAGTCTCAAAATAATGAACTAAAGGAGCAGCTTTATAGCTTGAGAATGATAAGAGAGCACTTGTCAAAATGTTGTACTACATGCGTAACAAGCCAGTGATTGTATTCCATATAAATTGTGATGTATTCTTATTGTGCTCAGTCGCTAAAGTGCACTCAAGGATTAAAGGAATAGCTGTTTGGTCCAGATTAGTTGCACATTTGACATCATGCTTGGTTGTATTTTTATTTTAAGTTGCATGGTGTTAATGGTGAAGATGTCGGAATGATAGAAAGTTCTAATCTGAACTTTAATTCAGCTCCTCGATTTCCTCCAGGTAAGTGCCCACAATTATGGTACTGGTGATTTTGAAAGAACGTGCATGACCAGAAGAAGGGCCACACATGTAACCTAAAGGGATTTTCGCTGGGTACTCTAATTTTCTCCCACTGCTTCAGTAATATCAATATCTCAACTGCTTCCATTTTAAAGCAATTATAGAGAACTTATTTAATTATTGTTACTTAAAAGGTAGTGGAAGAGATAATGGTGATCAAGGACGAGTACCATCACCAAGACAAAGATTATCACCTAGAAATTTACCAGGGTTGCCTAGAAGTGGCAGAGATAGCCACTCTGATAGAGATTCTAATTCTTCCCATAGTTCAAGAAATTCTGGAGCTGGCAGAGTTCAAAGACCCAGACGACATGATCATGACTTCCAGGATAGGAAGCTTAAAAAGGTAAAATGCCAATTTAATCACACATATGTTATGATACAGGGTAGTATATCTGTTAATGTTATATATGATGTTGCGAGGTAGTATATCTGTTAATATTATATATATTACAGAATGGTGTTGGAGGAGGTAGTAGAACTAGTCTACCAGATGATAGTGGTATATCTGATCAGGAAGAAGGAGCTACAGCATTATCTAAACTACCTGGTCCTGGTAAATTTAAACAAATGACTAAACAACAAGGTGCTGATGATGTTGATAGTGGTTTTGTAGGATCTGTTGTAGGACCAGGTCAACAACAACAGCAACAAGAACAACAGCAAGAAACATTACGACTACGTCAACCAACAGACATTCAGGAGAGGTGAGAATATATTTACCAGTTAGACAATACATCCCACCTACCTAAAAAAAAACACAGAACCAAAATGTCATTGCAGTCCTTCTAATAATTGGAAATTTAGCATTGTAGATGCACAATATAACATTGATTAAAATATTATCTTTGGATATCTGTGTAGATTACCTTTTCTAACTCGAAGCAACCTCTTTGTAAACAAAAATTTAATAAGACCTAAGGATATATATATTTTAGAACAATATTGGTACATGTAACTCAACTTTTGAAAGTGTTGTACTAACTGATTTAAATGATAGAAACTTTTGTTTCCTCAATTAATGCTCTTTTCTTTTAACCATTGGTAATATCTTAGACCTTCTTCAAGACAAAGTGCACAGCAGCAGCCTGGTGCTCGCAATAAAAATTTACAAACTAATAGACCTGCATCATCACATGGTAGCAGAAGGTCATCCTCAGATAGATTTCTATACGATGAATCCGGTGATGCATCAGATTTATATGAAGAAGATAGTGACCTTAGTGATGTGTCTATACATGCTCAGAGAGGTAACAAACCAAAACAGACTCAGAAGCAACACAGCTCTACTGTGGTAGATACAGAAGATGGTAACTATTGACATATTTCTCTTTCGGATTTTAAAGTACCAATATTGTTATAAATCCATATATAGCTTACAGTATCTGGTAACTTCAATCATTTTCTCATAAATTTACAAATTTAAATGCATGTTTAGCAAGTAGTATGTTTATAGGCTGATTAATGATGCCATATTATTCTTACTGATAAGATTAATGTCATTTCAAGACTGATGAAAGTTTCTTGGCTCCTCTTCACTGAGATTAGGACTGACCATCAAGGTCCTATATATAAACTGTAGTGTACATACAAGCTCATATGGCAGTTGGAATTTAAAAGGCAAAAGACTAGACTAAAAAGTGATTAGCCAATCTGCTCCCACTTATTTAATAATATAAAAATTACTGAATTATTATATTGACAAGACAGGGACCTCAATCACTTCCTTCATTGCAAATATTGAAATAGAATTCTTGTATAGATCGGGTATTGAAAATTTGATTTTAAAGATGTTTTATTTTATGTTTTTATAGAGGACACAGATGTCACACCACGACCAAAACAGCAAATGAAATCAAAACCACAACAAAGACAACAAGAAACAGAAATCAGAAATCAAGAGAAACCCAGATCCACCAAACTACCGAGGACAAGAGATTCTTATTCATCAGTGGAAACAACTCTCAGAGCTACACCACCAAATCAAGGTGTGATATATGCCAGACACAGCATAGACAATATGGAGAGAGAAATGTTACCTCAACAATTTTCTCCCCAAAAATTAAGGACAGCTTCAAGACAAACTAGTCAACAAAAAGTGAATTCTTCAAATACAATGAAGACACAAAGAGAAAATGCTCGAGGTTTTAGAAATCTTACCACTCTAGGTGTCCAATCTGGCCGGGAAGTAGCGGGAACTGAATCTGACACAACCCGTGGCTCTTCTACACGCAGGTAAGCTAGCTGCACATAATTCTAATAAACTATAAAGGGGATATAATTACCAAGAGAAGAAACTACAGATAGTCAGGTCGAAATACAGTTTAACCCTCAAAAAATTGCTACGGAAGGTTTCTCAACTGATTCTGGTAGTTTTTAGTGTACTTTTTAACATACTAAAAGTTTACCAAAGTAGGACCGGCGGAAAAGTGTGTTTTCAAGATAGCAGCCATAAAATGTCTTAAGATCATAACTATGAAAGTATCAACTCAAATTTGATGATCTTGGTGTCTATCCCTAGGTTTTTTGGGACGAAGAACACACTAAGATCATACAAAATGATGTTGGCCTATTATGTAACACAAAAATCCAATATGGCATCAAAAATGGCAACCAACACCTCCAAATGACCGCACAATGCACATCCATAACTATTGACTCAAATTTGATGATCTTGATGTCTATTCCCAGGTTTTTGGGTTTGTCCGTCTGTCTGTCTGTCCGTCCATCTGTCTGTCTGTCCGTCACACTTTTTGGGACACACGACACAATAACTCTCTTTCTAATTGAGCTAGAATGTTCAAACTTGGTGTAGGTGTTTATTAGGTCAATGCCTTGATGGAGTTTGAAGATGAGCATTTCCTGCTTAGGGTAAGCAGAGATAAGCAATTTGATTGGTTGATGCTTTGAGACACGATAACTTTAGTTCTAATTAAGTGAGAGTGATGAAACTTGGTGTATAGTTTCATTACATCATAACCTTGACTAAGTTCGATAATGAGCATTTTCTGCTCAGGGTAAGCAGAGAGATAAGCAATTTGATTGGTCGAGACTTTGGAACACAATAACCCTCCGTCTAATTGAGCTAGGCGTTCAAACTTGGTGTTGGTGTTGATTAGACAAATGCCTTGATGGAGTTCGAAGATGAGCATTTTCTGGTTAGGGTAAGCAGAGATAAGCAATCTGATTGGTTGATCATTTGGGGCGAATAACTTTGATTTTAATTAAGTGAGAGTGATGAAACTAAGAGTATAGATTCATTATATCATTACCTTGACTAAGTTTGATGATGATAATTTTCTGCTTAGGCTAAGGATAGATAAGCAATTTGATTGGTCAAGACTTTGGAACATAACAACTCTGCTTTTAATTGAGGTAGAAGCTTTGGGACAAGATAACTTTGATTCTATCTGATAGAGAGTGATGTAACTTAGTGTATAGTTGATACTGTTGAAAAAAAAAATGTGCGATTAATTAATATGTGTCATCTATTTATTTTGGGATTTCGGCGGGGAACATCAGCCTCGCTGTTGGCTTGTTTTTCTACAAATCTATACTGTTTGATATATTACGATTTTTGTAATCTTAATGGTTGCCTACATCCTATTATAGGTTAATGATGATCTTGTCTTAGGTTTAACATTGTACAGAAAAGAAATCATCTACTTGACATGTTTATTTTCTTTATATACAGTAGCCGCCTCCAAGCTCTTCAGGACCAATTAGACAGATTAAGAGAAACTGTGGCAATGGTTCATGAAAACAGGATACCCCCACCCCCAGCTCCACAGAATCGTGAAGAACCAGAATACTACGACCCTTTTGATGACCCCTATGGATTTATGCGTATGCCACGTAGACGAGCTAATTCTTTTTCGGGGCGTGGTGGTCGTGATTTTGATGATTATTGGACATTACCGTTAAGAGGCCAACAAGATGATTTGCCACTTGGATATGCTGCTGCAGATGCATATGCTGAAAATGCTCCACCCTCCCCAAATAACCCAGTCCGAACTCGAATCCATCAAAGAAATATGGACAGGGCTAGGAGACATTCAGAAGAAGAAGTTAAAGTTCCTCTTATTAGAAATGGCTATGGTTCTGATCCCTCATTAAATATCCCGTCTGCACATACTCCAATGACCCCAGAATTTTTTCACAGAAATCATGAACAATCGAGATTACCTCAACATATACAAAGCCCCTCACGATATAGTACCACTGGTATGCGTTTACAGTTACAGTCTCAAGGATACTTTAGGACACCATCAGGGGCCAAAATTTACACTTCAGAAAAAACACATAATATCCACTCTGGTACTCGTCCGAGAGAACATCAAAGTGATTTTGCAGGAATTCCATACAGTGCTGAGTTTTTGCGGGCTCATCAAAGAAATGAAAGACCTCATGTTGTTATGCACAATGGTTATGTTTCTGAGAATAGCTATAGACCACGAGTTAATTCTTTACCTCATTCCAGACGTCCAATAGCATCAACACCTAGACATCATTCTCAGCGTGTACAGGATGTCACTCGTGAACAATATTATTCAGACATTGGTGTTGAGTCCCAACCTAGGAGAAGACCACCTCCATATCCTACAAAAACATCAGTTT